TTTAAAGGTAAAGTCATCTAGTTTGAAACATCCACCAGAGTTTATATTTTCCAGAACGGCCTTCCTTTCATCCTCTTAGTTTCCTTCACTAAACGTACTCCTTTTCCAAATTTTAATTGTATCTACGAAGTCTATTTCAGCTATACACCTTGCTTTGAGGAGCCCGAACACACGATAAAGCTTCAGAGAACCACAGGTTTGGAGAGGACCCAAGCTCCTTTCCAACCTACAAGTGCTGGAAGTCAGTCAGCTGAAACAGTGACTACAAATACCTGTGTTCCTACATTGCCTGAGCTCACACTGTGAAATTTTTTTGCATTATAGAAATGTCTGAACCAACACAGCGTAACTCCAGCAAAAGCAGATTCTGCCAGCCTTCACTGTCAACCCCCTTTCCCAGAAAATCCAGATTCAGCTGGGGGCAGAAAACATTCCTGTGATCTGATTACAGGAACTTCCAACTTGAGGCAGCTGAAAGGGTTGTCTGTGCCTGTACCAGACATTCTGTGTAATACTATTGCAATCTGACTTACCTCTACACCACCTTTTTGGGAAGTGTCACAAATGGTCTCACCTGATTCAGACTGGGAAGATTTTTAATACTTTCATTGATGTGGACACAAAAAACATTCTTGTTGATGCCAGTTTCCCGCAGCAACTGTTGCTGTGGTTATAAATCATTTATTGCCCCCCGACGGCCAACAACTGAATATAAAGAATGAGGTTACTACGTGCGAGAGGGCGTGACAAATGCAGATGCCTGCTCCTTCTGAAACGTGCCATCAGGCACCAAAATACTGTTGACTGTTTTATTGCAGGGGGCTTTGGGAAGTCACTAAAATAACCAACAGACAAGCGCTCTCTAATGTTGATGAAAGCAAACAGTCCTCCAATTCACAGATGCAAAGATCAAGGGGGTCCTCAGCTTGTGTGTGCAGTAACCATTAGGGAAGGAACATAGAGACAACCCCCCTCCTCTCCAAGCCCCCATGGAGCTCAAGGGAAATATTTTCTTCTCAAAGACAAAATGCACCATTAATTCCTTAAGTTGTTTAGGAATAACTTATAGCGCTCATTACTGAGCCAAGGTATTTGAAATAACCTAGTTAACTCCATCTTCATGATTAGAAGACCTTTGGATAGGCTCCAGGTCTGACCGTGACTTCACTTCCCCTCCTAGATAACATGAGATTCACTCACACAGATCTTATTATCTCTTGTACCTCCTTGCTGAGCAATTTTGTATCTTGCTGCCAAAACAGAAGCAGAGATGAAGGCACTTGGATATTTTCCTCATGCAGAGGCCCAAGCTCTCTCCCAAGCAGGATTTTCTTTATGATCATCTTGATTTTGCAAGGGCTGGGTATAAGATAGTTTGAGAGAAAAGGCACAAAAAAAAAAGAGACTATGTTTTACACAACAGTTGAGTCAAAAACAATCATGCTGGCAACAACAAAACACATTTTAGCAGGTTATTTCCTCTGCTCAAGTGCAGTAGCTTCCCACACATTATTTCTTCAACCTCAACAGGAATAGATCGATCTCTCAAGTCCAAAACAAGCCCTTACAGGTGTTTAAATGAACTGAAAGACACCACAGCGGTCACAATGTAAGAGCTGAGGCATCCAGACACCATAACACATGCTACCTGCTTTACAAGATCACCTCCAAACCACTACTTCAGCAGCCCTCATGGTGACTCCAGGTGCTCTGCACACTCAGTTAGAGAGCTTAGGGACCTATATGCTGCGAGGGAGATGGCGAGACTGATCCCAAACCCAATCCCAAACTGGAAGGCTATGGCCACCTGGTAACCAGCCGAAGTAGTAGTCACCCAGTTTTAGCAGGCTGGAGATGTAGGAAGTTTTTCCTCCCAGTGCCAATCATAGTGCTCTCTAAAGAAAAACCAAAGTTTTAAGCCACCACCACAAGTTAACCCTCAAAATATCTGTCTTTCCTACAAACCAGGGAAGCAGAGATTCTCCTGGACGGTTCATCCAGGTACCACAGCTGGGAGTTTGGACACATCTGAAAGGAAACAGAGTACCTGCCATAGTCACTTCTCTCCAGCCCCCTCCTTCCATGGAGCGGGCAACCAACATCCCAAAGGCCACAGATGAGCTTCTTAGAGACTTAATCTTGGTGTTTGCACAGGTTAAAGGGGTAAAGGGCGAAACTGTGCACAGAATGAATTTTCCTTATCACCAAACATTTCCCTCCCACGCAAAGAAGGGTAAATACAGTACCAAGCCCTTGTTTCATCACAAGACAGCCTAAACTACAACTTGGCTATCAAGCTATATGCCACAGCTGTAATTTTCACATGCAGTTTCAAATGTCTACATGCTGATGTTCCCAGTAATCAGGAATTTTCCAAGAACTAGTTGTGCATCCTAAATATTTCCTTCTTTTCTCTCTTTCCATGTCCTCCTCCTCCTCTACCCTGTCTCCAGCAGCGTATTTTGCTTTTGTTTGTTTCTTTGTAACCAATGTCATTAACATAGTTATTTTGGGACAGAGAAGCCATTAGCAAAAGCAGTTTAAAGGATGAACCAAAAAAAGTTTTGTTCCTTTAAAACCAATTGAGTCACTTCCCGTAGCATGCAGGGAGACCAACAGCAGAACATCCATACTCCAAGTCCTTACTCAGCAGAACCTTTAACAGACACAGGTGCACATCCCACATGGGCAACTCTTATTCCTCTACAAAACTTCCAAGAATCAGATGAAACACCACAATATTTAGCAAGAGAAGCAATAAGCACCTCTTGCACCAAGTCCTGGTGTAGTACTAAGTCCCTTTGGAAGCAGGACCATAACAAGAGGCAAGAATGGGAGCCACACAGTCTTACAGCAGGATGAATTTAGAAACAAAGCAATTAAGCCATCCTCAAAGGCACAATTCAAGAGTTGCTCTTGCTGCCCGGTCATACAAGGAATTTTTGTGGAGCTAGTGTGACACCTCCTGGCCATTTGTGGTATTGCCCCTTATCGCAACCAAAGTTTACTTCCTTCTATAAGCTGGAAATAAGGCCGCCACCACATGAAAAACAGCAAATAAAAATCCCTAAACGCTGTGCAGTGGTGCCTGAACAAACGTTAATTACACACCTACAAATGGAACACAAAACTTGTATGCAAACAGAAACGAAAGTACACCCCAGAATTTCCACCCCATTGATTCGACTGCCTAACCGCAGAAGCTTGCTTTTGACACACCTCGGCCTCTTCACACAAGCCCTCATCCAACTTCTGCTGCTCCGAATGAGCAGCTGGTCTGTCCTCCTTACTCTCTTCATTGCTCCAAAACTACCAGGATTAGGGCTGCAAAGAAGGACCCACCTCATTTCTAGCCTCTTTCTCCAGAGGATGCTGCGTTTTTGGAAGACAAAGACACAAACAGCTTAGTCATCATACGGCTGAGACCTTGGCTTGTTGTAAGGATTAGTGAGTGCACAGAACTGACAGTTGTCAGCTCTAAGGTGAGCACTAATTTTTGGAACTACCAGCCCAATTGCTCACAGCTGCCATAGCCAAATGGTTTCACACAGAACAGCTGCCTGAAGATGATGCAGGCAGAGGGCTCAGAGGACAGCAGGACCCGGCTGTCATAGCACCAGAGTAGGAGACAAGAACTCGTACCCCTGCTACCAGCTCATTGTCTGAAACTGAAACAGATTTGCAGGATCTCAAGTGCTGGTGAGACTGAAGAATAAACATGAAATCCCCCTCCTCTTCTTGCTGCCACGTTCTCCCACAGCTCCATTCCTACGACAGGTTTCTGGTACGCTGCAAGGATGGACACAGGTAATGCCTACCTTAGAGGTGCAACGGGGAGTGGTGCCAAGTTTCCAGTGCCACCACTCCCCATATCCAAACACTGCCAACAAGATACTCAGCCTGCTCTTCAACCTCAACCCAGGCCTCCTGCTTTCACTTCCAGAAAGGCTGGGACACACATACATGTAGGACATCACACAACCAAAACACAGCTCCTCCTTGTTACTCCACACCCCAAAAGCTCAGCAGACCAGCAGTCAGCTGAGACGGAACAGACCTTCACTCACATCCCTCTTTTGCCTGATTTGAAGCCTGCTTGCATAATTAACATCAGTACTGGTTAAAAACTTAGCACATCAGTTCAGCCTAATTTGGCGGCTTGTGTGAGTAGACAGTGCACAAGTATTCGCATGCATTTTCACAGCATCTCAGAAATTAAGCCCAGCTTTACAAATTACTAAGACACTAATTTACTGCCAGTTAAAACCCTCCAGACTGGAAGCCTCCACCTGCTGCCCTTCTGCCTCCAGCTCTCTTCCAGCTTTGCCAATGACACAATCCCCTACGCCTCCAGACAACGCTGCAACCCCAATGCAATCCCCAAGCAGTGGACAAACCAACGGATAGGACTGAAACAGGGAGCTGAGAGATTCGTAACAGATGCTTTGCAGAACACTGTAACCTTTTAGGTTGGCTTCCTCCTCCACTAGAAATCTGCTTGCTACAAACAGCGTTTCAACATTCCTAACCATCACCTGTAGCTACCTAAGGTGTCTCTCAACAAACACCACAGGACAGGTATTTGGTAAAGGAGATGTATATTTATTCACTTTACAAAGAGGGTGGTATTTAGTTGCAACAGCTCATTTATAGACAAATATATTATTGTACATTATAGTGGTGAATGGCTCAAACCTTTACCTTGTTTTGCTCTTAAAAATGTGTTTGCACCACTTCAGCTTCCATTAGCTGAGCAAATAGCTGTCCTTGTTCTGCCACTGAGAGATTAAAAATCTGTAATAAAGGTATAGCTGTGCGCTAGGTATTCACCTTCTCATTTCCCTGTGTTACTCCCCTCTCCCCACCCAATTCAACACAGTCTATCCTCTTGGTTAGCGTTAAACTTATATACAGCCTCCATTAAAACAAAATTAGGAGCCAGTGATAGTTCTAACCTCCTTTTGAAGCACAAGAAAAGTCATTGATTTGTACATACAAAAGTCTTGAGTTCAAATTTGTTACAAAAAGAAAAAGCCATTTTTAAGTCTGGTTGGCATTTAGATATTGCCAAGGCATGGCTAAACCAATGGAGGATGGGGGGAGGGCAGCGGGGAAGAAAATAATTTCAGTACAGAATTTAAATATTACAAAAATATCTTTTTTTCTTTTTTCTTTTTTTTTTTTAAAAATGCAGCAGGATGCCCACTTGCTATTGCTAACTGAAGCATGGAAAGAAGGTATAGACCAGTTGTCTTTGATCCTTGAATATTTGAAACAAATTCAATGTAAAGCTGAACCAAGTTTACCACACAAACAGCGGTGGCAGATTTATTTCACTTGAGATACAAATGCATGTCCACATGACAGGCATAATCTGACCATGAGGTGGAAGAAATGTTTCTGTAAGTAAGCGCAGGGAAACAGGGCGAGAGAAGGCTGGCATGGTTAAACATTCTGGATTCAGAAATGCACGGTGCCCCACATGTGCCTCTGCACACAGGCTGTGCATGGGTCTGCACTCCCTATATGCAAATACGGCATCTTCCAGCAAGGTGATCCAGAATTAGAGTTTGGTGGCCCACTTGTTTAAACTGTTAAAATTATTCCTTCGTGCTGTTATTCTTCTTCACTTTCGTTTTCTGGTTCCAAGTCAGAATCACCATTGATTTCCTTTTCAACAGTCATGTCTTGTTCATCAGATTGCTCCTCTTTTTCTTCATCTTCATCCCAGTTTTCCTGCGGAAAAAATAAACAGGAATGTTTGAACCTTTGACAGTCACACAATTTCTGTTACAAACATATAGAAGACCTGATCCAACCCCACTTACATCAGAGTCTTTATCTGCAATCATCTCATCATCTGAGCCTTCCTCCTCTGAGGATTCTGCAAAGAGAAAACAATCCCTCAGTCTGGAGAACGGACTTTAAAACGTCAGTGTACAAACCAAGCCCAACCCTGCACGCTGCTGAGTCTCCAAACTGTGCTATTTCAATTCCACAAGTAATTCTACCTGAAGATTGATTGGATCAACTTGAATTAGGAACAAGTGACTTCTATTGCGATTACACAGCATGAAGTTGTAGTAGAAAAAAAGGCCAAACTGGAAGTGTACATGCAGACATCCACTACCTTGACGTTCTGCTGACTCAAACGTCAAAGTGCCTTGACTGTACCTACTTAAGCAGAAGGGCAGCTAACACTAGAAATTTGAGGTTTCCAGTTAAGTTAAGCAGCATACTGAATTTCCAATTAACCGATTCCTTAATTTGTGAAGCACGGATGGGAAGGAACAAAAGGAAATAAAAGAAGGGAAAGGAAGGAAGGAAGAACCAACTACAAGATGCCCGCATTGTTAACCACTGACTTCCCTGCCACGGGCTTCCCACAAAAACCGTCGACGTGCAGATTGTACACTAACAGATAAGCACAGGAGCATGACGAAGAGCCATCAAGTATCAGCTGCCTCATGAATTCAGGAGCTGAGCTACACCTAGCATACAACACTTACCGTCCTCGTATACCAGCTTTGCAGTTTGATTAACCTCAGTTACATCCTGAGCTGTTTCCGATGCTGCAACCTGAACAGAATTTGCAGATTAGCCTTAGATGCAATCATATATTCCAACCTCAGAAGTCAACAAAACTTATAACAATGTAAATGAAGCCTATATCAAGTTTAACACACATTAATTCATTTACAGTACTAGTTTAACAGCCAAACAAGTATGAAGGACAAAGTAAAATTGTAAAGCCATCTGCTCTGAAGCGGCCCAGTAGCTCCTATTTATTCCTCTTTAAAACTCTACAGGTTAGTAGACCTATTTGGCAGGAAAAAACGCGTAATGCTTCCAGTGACCATGGACTGACTAGATAGTCAATTAAGTGTTCTGCTTTGAGCATTATCAGCATAGCTGTGCAGCAGCTGTATTAAGTTCCTGATGCCAGGTCCCATCACATTTAATCACAACAGGAGGTTAAGTCTGCAAACAATACTCCTTCTGCACAACCCATGTTATTTAGTTGGAACTCACCTGGGTGACAAGAATGAAGAGTCTTCCATGCAGACGGGAAAGCTTTTGCAAAGTTTTTACTCTGCTCTCCATTAGCTGGTATAGCATTCCCAGCTGAGGAATGAGGTCTGGCAACTTGGGAGAAGAGAAGGATGAAGAATAATGAAGCTGTAGCCAACACATCACAAATGTCTTATTTTTAAACTACCTTTGTATCTTTGGGGCAAGCAATCCTTGCTCCCATTATTCTAGCCAGAAGGGAGAGCTGAGGGTTCACAGAAACCACCTGCAGCCTGGTCAATTAACATTTAGCCATGTTTAGAAACATCATCTATTTTCAAAATCTGGCAATTCTTATACTACTTTTCCTTTCCACAGTCACTGCCATAAGCAGGTGTCAAAGCACTATTTGGAAAGCTGCGTAAATGGGAACTGAAGATACACCACAACGTGGGCAAGTTCTGATGCACAGCACTCCTGTAATAAATGGGAGACAGAACTAACGGTGCCAAAATGCCTTTTGCTTAACTGAGCAAGAGTGCTTTATCCATCATTCGTGAGGCAAGGCTGGACTTCAATCCAGAAGCTACAGCATTACCTGCTACTCTGCCAACTTTGGCACACCTTCACCCTATAAATCTAGCCATGCCCAAGATAGTCTCAAGAGGAGCATTACAACAGCAAGGCAAATTTAGTTCTGTAGGATTTAGCGACACAGGCTAGATTACTCTTTGACAGTAATTTTGTCCCCTAACTCTCACAGGTATGACATAACTTATCTTGGTTTGACTTTGGGATTACTATAATTATGCCATGAATGACTAAGACAAACAATTTATAACCAACGTGCAGCAATTCAGCAAAAGCGGCAGAAGTATAGCCCTCTGCACATTGATTTGGGCACTGCCATATACGGAGAACAGGCAATACGATTCCTGAAGGAAGAACATAGATATATTTATGCATTTAAATCTAGTTTTAGTTGCATACATTAGCATTAACATAGAATACTTACTGTGGAAAGGTAGGATGCATGTAGAGTAAAAACAGACTTCAGCCATCGAACCATTAGTGAGGCACTGGAAGAGAAAAATAAATTATATCAAAGAGATACTGCCTAAGAAACACCCATTTCACATTCTAGACGCTAAATAGTTCCATAGAAAGTGCTCCTCTTTCATTATATAAAAAGATAAATGCAGATGGAAATAAAACAGTTTGGCTATCCAGATGAGATACTTATGCAAGTTACTTGTTTGGGAAAGAACAGACATTTAAGTGAGGGACTAAACTAGACCTGCTCAGGGGTCTGTGTTTCTGACATCTTTTATGGAAGGTTTCAGTGAATGAAAGATTAAAGCATAGTACTTTTTTCTCCATCTACAACGACAGAATTTTTATTAAAAAACCACAAACCAAACCATACCCCGCCAAGCAATACAATTAAGGACAGCTAGTCTCAACAAAGCTATCCTTATGGCAATATAACAAGATGGGGGGGGGGGCGGGGGAGAAGACCTGTGTTTGTTATTAATTAAACACAACACCAGGAGATGTCTAAATATATTTGACAATTAAACCAACCAAGCTATATATCTGATAGTTATTTTATTTTACATACCGATCAGATCTGCAGTGTCAATATTCTGGGACTTCAGATACATTCTCAGGGTTACATGCTTATTTCAGGTACCCTTTTCCCTTTTTAATTTTGCTTCAGACATCTTGACAAAGCACTGCCTTAATAAAGTTCCTCTTTGCACCCGCTATCAGGTGAGAATTTTACCTCAAGATGCTGCAGTTTAATTAGTTACAATGGAAATCAATCACATGGGTGGAAGGACCACAACACACACATTAAAAAAGTTTCAGGTGAATTAAACTGTAGTTGAGTTATCTCTTACCTGTATGGGTTGCCTTGCAATCTCTTTGTAAGCTGAAAGGACAAAAATAGTCAGCCGTAAGTAACAAACACATACTGAGTTTAAAAACCCCATATTACATCCATGTGACAGCCCCAGTATTGGGGCAGAAAGATCTCCAGGCATTTGAAGTTTGCTAGGATTAACCATTGCCAGGCTCCAGAATATTACATTGCTGGCTCTACCCTCGTACACAGGCCGATAACTGAAGCTGAGTTTCAGTATCACAATAAAACTGGAACTCTTTAACAGGCAACATATCCAGTGAAACTTAAAGCTGGCATGAATAAGTAGAAGGAAAACCCTTTGTTTATATGTCTCTGTGTATCCACTTAGCAGAGCAGCTGTTACAAGGTAGACAAGTTGGGGAAACAAGTGAAGGTAGTATCAGTTAAAGGCTACCTCACAGAACAAATCTCAAGCTCTGGAGAAGAAGGTTACATGAAGATCTGTCCATCCACTGAGATTATATAGTCAAACGCTTGCACTTAAGATTCTCTGACAAAGGTCCTAAAGAAGAAACACCACACCTAACTAACATAAGCCTAAGGAAGTGTCACAACACATGCTTAAAGGAAATCTGACCATTCAAAACCAGGCCAGCTGCATGATTCAGTTAAGATTAGTACCACAAGTAAAAATTAAATCTTACTTGTGGCCAGCACATTAAAATACAAGAGAAATCTAACCATGAACTCATGTTATAGAATGTCATTCACAGAACAAAAACAACTAATCAATGTTCATTTTAAACAAAGTAACGTCTAGATAAGGCTAATCATTAAAATATTTCTGTCCAAATACAGACTTTATTTAATATCACTGAATAAGCAGTTCAGAAGACAAATCCCTTTTAAAATTATTACTAAGTGATGGTGCAAAGCTTAAATATAGCAACTGGGCTTCCAAACTATCTTCAAAAGAGGAAAGAAATTGCCCCTCAATTTCCAAGTATTATCTAAACTCTCTGCTCTGAGTAGTATTCTATTTTTCTTTCCCTCATATGAGTATCTAGCATATTTATCCTCACATAACTTGCTCTGGCTAGCACTGCTATTTTCATGTTTCAAATCATCATCCATTTTAATAGTTTAAAAGAAGATATAATGGTAATTGTTTGCCATGGACTAAACAACCTTTAGATTAACCTCTTCCTTTTCTTTTCCCACATAACCATTTAAGATAGTATTACATGATCTAATGCTCTTCCTAGTTTTGACAGTGGCACTTTGTCCTTTGGTTAAGCTTCAGCCAGAGAAGGTAAGAGAATATCAGAGATAAATTAAGAACAATTTCTATCCTGTAAAACTACCAAATCAAATTAACTGGTAAAAATAAAGAGACATATCCTGGATTTTCCCCAGCTAGAATGCAAGCCAATGTGGCTTGTATGACAGTACAAGAAACAAGAGTCTCTCCTACCTCATGCAGCAGTGGAATGACAGCATGTATAGGCATTCTGGCTACTGTGTTCTTTATTATATTTTCCTTTCTTGTGTTAAGCACTCTCTGTTAAAATGGAAAAGTATGATCAGAAAATCATTCAGTTTTAACATGTGTATGAGCAATGAGCACAATCAAAAATTCTTGGCTTTAAATCTCTTTTTCTACTCCACTACCTTTGTATGCCAAGATGAGGATAATGAGTAAAGGAAGATTTACTACGAAAAGGAGTTACATTTTTCAAGTCAGCTACAATTAACAAGACACTTGATTAAGCCATCTAAAACAACCTAGCACTGCCTCTAGCCCATCCACCCCATGTTAGAAATGAATCATCACAGGCACATTAAAGTTTCCCTTTCTATTTTCTGTGCTTGACTTCTGTAAATAAATGCCTTTCACCACTATCTGTGATAAGTAATTTCTATTCAGCATCAAATCCTTAAGATTTCATTTCCCTGCCCAAAACCTAGTATTTCCTCCTAGTCCAAGTGCAACAGTAAGCTTTTCAAGTGAAACTGTTGTCACCAATGCATTTTTCAAACAATATCTGCTTGGAAACCATACACTCAGGAGACTAAGCACAGATTATGCTCCAGCTGAAGCTAAAGGGAAGACGGCTGCACTAGTAACATCGCCTGTAAAACATCTGAAGTGTGACATAATAAATTTATCATAAACAGAAGCACCTCAAAGTTCATGGACTGAGTCAGAAAGTAAGACAGATAACAAAAAAAAAGTAATACCACTACTGTCATTTATAACACCACTGCCCTTGAGCAGCAGATCAGCAAAAAGCAGCTGGGAGCAACAACAAGTTCTTGACTGTTCAGCCTCCCCAGCTTTCAGGAAGGCTCTCCCCAAGTCTCAGTGAATAGATTAAACAGCATACAATGACCTTGTAACACTTACATTTAAGATTTCTGCATCGTTGCTTTCCAAGCCCTGAACCAAAAGTACCGCGAAGCTATCTGTTTGTGGAAGGCCACCTGGAGTTTTTACTTTGCTCACATCAATATCCAATGCCCCTAGGCGCTCTTCAATGCTTTCCTGCAGACGGTAAACAAGGGCAATGTTGTTTCAGTGCAGTTTCTCAGAAACATCAGCTGAAAGCCAAGTACCTAACCTACAGCATCCCCTCTGATTCTACTGGAAAATAACACAAATTTTCATATTCTTTTAAACGTACTGATAGAGAAAAGCCTGAGAAAGGAAGAGAAGATGAAGTTTTGACTGAAAAGCAGCAATATACCTTTGCACAGAGAAATAGACACAAGTGTGTGTCAAAGTTCTGCAGGAACATGCCAAAACTACAGGCAAGGCACACAGAGCTTGAATAAGGGAAAGGTTTTGAGCAGAGGGATGTCTCTTTCATGCAAAAATACAGTAGCATTAACCTTGCTTCTATGTCAAACAAAGCAAGTTCAAGTTCACCTAAAGAAGTTACAACGATGTCTTATGATTCTAGTTTCTCCATTACTGCTCTGTTCAAAAGAGGAAGCACTTTACCTCTGTTTCTCCCGGTTTCCTCTTCTTTTTCTTTTTCTCCTTTCCCGAGGATGGAGTTTTGACAGCTGTACTATGTCCTGGAATGCCGGGCACTAGAACTTTGGTGTCTGAGTTCACAACAGGCGTCTTTACCTAGTAGACAGAGACAACCACACTTCCATGAATTGCTAGTATCTTGAGCTGTCTTCCAATTTAAAACGCTGATTTTATTCCAAGAGTCTCACATACGTGGTAAAATCAGCCTGCCAAAACCCATTTTCTTGGCATATATATCAGCAAAATCCTACATTTTTAAGAGCAGTGAATAACCTCAAGCAACAGTCAGCTAGTTTTCATAATTAACTAAAGCAACAGTCACTGTGGAATCACCTGTGAATCACTCCTCTTACAAGCTTGTTTCATAACACTCATTGAACTAAGTGTTTGTACCCAACAACAAATATTTGGATGTCTGCTAGCAACAGATACCACATGTACTAATAGTCAGGCCCATAAACCGCATGCAGATTAATTCAGCTTCCACTGGAAGGCAAGAACTGATCAAGAACAGCAGCACAAAGTAACGGTAAAAGGAAGTTACTATTCCCTTCAATCCCACAATTTTCTTCTAGGGATTGCTCAGACACAGAACTCAGTAGTTCGAATTAGACTATGATCACAATGACAAACAGAGCAACCTTAGTTATACCAAACAAGCTATGGTATCCATCCTCAATGAACATAAAGCAGATCAAATTTTAAAGGCAATATATTTAATAACCAAGTGCTCCCCTGACCCACAAGCGATGTAAGGGAGTACGCCGCTTCCAAGATATCAAAAATGTACCTGCTACTTCCAGAACACTTCTTTAACGACAGCGCTTCTGTGCAGGCCATTTTTTTAAGTACCTGCCCAGACTTCTGTACTTGTGGGAGCCCTGCTGGGTGCCTACTGAAGTGATACAAATATAATCTACTACAGTGAGCAAAGCAACTTCCACATGCTCTGTGTAAAAGAGAAGGAATTTGATTTTGTAGCTGAAGACTTTTATTGTAGAATAGCAGTGGTGTTAAAATGCTACCCCCTTTGTTCACCACGCTAATCACTAACCTTCTTTCTCCCCACAAGGCATGCTCAGACAGCCAAGAGAAATGCGTCTTCACTGGAATTCAGCAAAAAGCGAAACCAAGATGGGTATCATCACTGCATGCCCAGGGAGTTCCTACACCTCTCACTGCATTTCAGCTCTGCTACCCACCAGCTCCAGGACTAAGGCATCAGCACAAAGCCCTGCCTGGTGGATGGAGCACCAGATCCAGTAGGCAACTTGAGGGTTAGAAAAACAGCACTGTCTGCTCACTTCACTGATACCAAGTGTTACAAATCTTCAAGGCCTTGAATATGCACACTGATTAAGAACTCCACAGCCTGTCTCTAAACTCCCAGGGGATCCTCCATGAAAGAAAACGTTGGCAAGTGGCCTCAGTGGACACTGTTGCCATCTAAGCGTCAAGCTCACATTCCCAGGTGCCATATCCCTGTGAGTAGGAACACGTGAAGGCCACCTCGAGAAAGAGCCAGAAGTATATGCCCTTTAAGGCTCCACTACATTTTACTTAGACTCTAAAACAAAGCCATCCCAACTTCACCCCAAACCGTCAGGGTCAAAGAGGCTGTACAAACCGACAGGCTCCAGGGGAGGGACTGATCTCAAGCAGAAAAGAAACCATCAGCCAGTCCCGTCTATCAAGCAGCTCTGCTATGAGCCACAGGAGGGTAATCAAGTGTGAGAGTGTACTAGGACACACAGCAGCCATGAAACACACTTTACCCACACTTGCCCAAGTGCTATGGACATCTGTAGCTACCACTACAGCTCTGAGTAGGTCCATCCAGAAATCCAACTTCAGAAAACCTCTCTCCAAGACAGCAGTGAATTCTACCATTTCCAAAGTAAAACAAGAGGAGTAACAAAACCATATTTCACACAAAGCTCACCTTTGTTAGAGCAACATCTGTTTTAAGTGACAGCACTTTCTGGATGTCCCTTATCAAACATACATGGGATTCAGTGGTGTTCAAAGACTAGAAGGACAGGAACAAAACCAGTTAATATATTTGAGATTCACCCCTGTGATTCACTATGCTACTGAAAGATGAGAAAAATTCCAGAGGTATAAAGCAGAATGAACTTTTTTCACTTTAGAACAGCAGCTGCTTTGCACATCTGAATTTTGTTACCAGATCTCTACGCTCTCCAAAGAAGCTCACACAGGTAAACTGAAACAGCATTAAAAACAGTTTCAACAGCCCAACTCAGTAATAGCTGAAATGTCAAGCTGTATTTTAATTAAAAGAATGGAAGAATACAAATTGCCTTTCAAAACAGCTCAGAGGCAACAGTCATAGCTCCCAGAAAAGGAGGAAGGAATAAGCTTTGTCTTGTTAAACAATTTCAAAAAAAGTAAAAAAATAAAAACAAAAAAATCCCTCCACCTGAGAGCAGTATGCAGTCCCTATTACAAAATCCAAAACCTCTCCAGTAAGTTTTACATACCACTTTCTCTATGATGGGCTGTAAGGTGTTTCCATACACAAGCAGCAGAGACTGTTTGTCTGTGCAAAATGCAGCTGCTAGAATAGGGACTGGTTTTGGTGTCGAGTCCCCATCATTTCCAGGCGTTGCTATCTGGATAGTACAGTTTGATGTTAAGGGTTTTTTGCAATAACTGAAAAAAAAAAAAAAGGAATGAAAAAATTCCAAGAGGTTTAGCTTAAACACTTCAATATCTTGCACATCCAAGCACCTTTCATTAGCAGGTCCTCAGCAAACTCAGCCACCTTTTACAGACGGCTCAGATGAGGTACAGACAGACAAAACCTTGGCTAAAGCAGCACAGCCCCAACAAGTTCTCCAAAAATGTGTCCAGTAACCCAAGACAAAAAAACAGCTGAAAACTGGTTTGTGAACAGATACAAGAGCTTAAAGGCAGAAGCATGACAGGATTGAACTTTGAACTTTGCCTTACAGTAATCCCAGACCTTCCCCAAAGATACCCTCAGGATGAATACTAGCTTACCCATTTAAGATATGTTCAAATAAATGCAACTGCCCATCTCTGCACACAACTGCTAACTTCACAGGCTGAAAGAAGACATAGTAGAATACTTTAATTAGATCAAAGGACAAACCTCCCATAAGTACAGCACATCAAGACAGTTGCATGGTTACCGTTTGACTTTCTTTCAGTAACTAAACACATTAAAGATATAAATAAATCCATAAGGAAGATCAAAGACAATAATGTCTCAGGAACATTTAGTTCAACTGGTAGGAGACAAAAAGATAACTCATAATTGTGTTTTACTGTCTCACTACTGATATATCCACATTTGAACAGTTTGCACAGTAGCAGACATATGTCATCATAAGCAGCAAAGTTCCAAAAACATGGAACATTTATGTACACATCTAGAAGCTCAGGTCTACAAAGGCACTGACAGTGTAAATATGCTTAGAGGAAAGAAACTGAGATGTGTACTCTGAGCAATTAAGTGACAGGTGTACGTTGCAGAATACTCTTATTTCCCACACATGCAGTAAGAGGGCACAACTGGAAACATTAGAAAATACAGCATGAAATACTGCTTTTAGAAAAGGAACCTAAAGGCAGCAGGAGAAAAATGTTTTCAATAATTACTGAAACAGTTTGTGAACATGTTTCACATGCAGACATTTTTCATAAGACAACTACTTTGCAAGAGCTGCACTTGCTGAAATTGGGACTTGGGGACTTGGGGAAGGGACACTGCTACTTTAAGTCATTAAAGGCTAGTTAATTCAAAATGCAGTTACACTGCCAAAGCCACTTGAGATCAAGAAAAAACAGCACCATACTCAAACTGGATTTTTAGAAGAATTTTGTGGGTTTTTGCTGCCAAGTTCTAACAACCATTTTGATTACTAACTCATTTGAAATAGGAAGCAACAGACATTTCTGCCATCACAAGCAAAACCGATGAATAAAACACTGAATTTACACTCAGTAGCCTTGAAAATGAGTATTTAAAACTATCAGTTTTATAAATGCACCCACAATAAACATCCTTTCTCCTGTCAACTAGAATTCAGACCTCTTCTCTGCATAACAGAACCCAAATACAAACCAAGATTCTTTCGTAACATGCTTAAAAGGAAACTGCTGTGACAACTGAAAATTGTTGAATGTATTTCGTTACAAAACTACTGCTCCTACCTCTTCTTTGACTTCTGATACAGTCAGGTCAATAAAAGTTGGTTCATCTGTTACTGTGAAAGACATTACGGCATTCTTTTCTTTCCTATCTGATCTGATCTGCCTGGAAGACATAAACAGTATGCATTATTTACCATAGCACAAACAGCATCCTCTGCACCTGAAAAGTATTATAAAGCCTATAAATCACCAGCAGCTGTAGTAGTATCTACCCCATTCAAAAACACTCATGCTGTAATTTCAGCTTTCAGCTTAGAAAGTGTTCTAAATTCCAAGTGCAAAGTAACTCCCACATGAAATTTAGCAAGAAAACTTAGCATAAACCTTACAGTAAGTACAAAGAACAAGGAAGCTTATTACAGAGTATGTTCTTGGCATATAGTAGCGATCCGAACGGCAACTGGAAGCATGCTCAGACACAGCCAAGGAAATTCATGTCTTCATTCAACAATCAGTGAGTTGAAACACCATTTAAGAGATCATCACTGCATTTTCTCCAGAGTGCCTTTCTGCTTAACCTTCTGTTTAACCAGTTAAGAACATACTTGAGTCTATCCTCAATACTGATCATAATCATTTACAAATTACGTACCATACACTCAGTAATCGGTCATGTATAGCTCCAGACAAGAAATAAAGCCCTGTAATTCCATCAAAGGGCTTACTTTCATTCATAGGTTTCACTGTGGTAAACATTAATGATGACACTGATGTAGCATGGCCTGTGAAATGCTAAGAGGAAAAAAGAAAAAAAAAAAAAAAAATCTTTCAATGATTGCCACAAGCAGTGATACAGCAAAAAATTAAAACGTTAACAAAGAATATTAGGAAAGATTCAAGTGTTACTATGTCAACAAAGACTTTTTTTTTTTTTTTTTACTAGTGATCAGCTTCCTTGCATTTCTGTATTTCAAGAAAACTTTTTCTGACCCGGCAGATATTTATCAGAATTTTAAAAGTTAAATGAGGAATCAAAAGCAAATTTACTGGGACTAAGTCCATGCAAAAGAAATCACATCCACCTGTACTGCTGTTATTGTCAGAAAGCACTTTTCCTCCCCACACACAATTTTAACTTCAACTTTTACAACAAAACTAGATTCATAGTCTTATTCTCAATTGTAAGATGAACACACAGGTCTGCTGACACACTAAAACTGTTCAACTCCCCACCCCAAATCGCTTCTTCAATCTACTTTTGTAAATAGTGGGTTTGGTCATCTTGAGATGCAGACATACATGCCAGTTGCCATGTGCCAGCAAGACCACAGTAACAGTGTATGTGTACATACTTACCTGCCAGCAAGGACCAGGAGATTCAGACTAGCTGTGTCTTATCTGCTAGCAGGCAAGAAAACCTGGCTGCATTCACAGAACAGCTAAAACACGGTAATTTGCTCATGTCTCAGCCCTGTTCAGGGAACAACAAGGGGTTTGCTCCTATGTCTTCCAACAGCAAAACTGATAACACCATCAGTTACACGAAGTTTAGCAAAGAAACCAGCAGGCTTCAAGGAGCAACTCATGCTAAAAGTCACGGAGCCCACACACAAACCCATGCCAGCAGCAATTAATGCTGTGGTGAACTGAGTTCTCCTGCTAGAAGGGTATCAGAAAGGGACCCAGTGAAAAAAAGAACAGCATCGATCTTTCAGCTACAGGCTTGAGAAAGGGTGCTGGTAGCATGCTCAGACACAGCCAAGGAATTCAATGTCCTCATTCAACTCTCAGCAAGTTGAAACCACAGTTGAGGGTATCATCACAGCAACAGCTTCCAGCAATCCCAAAACTGCCAATTGCCTCCTCACACCCAGTGAAATTTTCAGATGTCCCATCAGGAAACACTAGATACATAAAGTCACCAATCAAGAAGGTTGGTTTTGTTGGGGTTTTTTGCATTTATTTTAAGTAAGCTACTTACTCTGTAGACTTCTTTGGTCTCCAGGTCCCACAGTTTTATAGTTCTACCAGCTGACAGCAGCATTTTCCCATCTGGACTGATGCATAGAGAGGTGACACTGCTGTTGTCGCCTTTCCACTTGCTAGAATTTGGATGAAGGGGTTTTGTACAGTGTGAGAAAGACAGAGAAATAGAAAAACCAATATTCATTAGCATAATATCAAAATGCACATCAACCATGCTGGAAAATTTAAGGCAAAAATTATATCTATATATGCACACACATATATAAAAAAGTAGTGAAAGATGATGTCAACGCTATTCTGTTTCCGCTCCTCTCCTTCAAATTAGTTTACACAAAAATACAGCAACTCAAAAATGTAAAGCTATTTAATACTGAACAACTGTTGACTTTTTAACATATTTGCCTATTCTGTTCTGAATTCCCCTCTCAAAGTTATCTACTACTCAAAATAGGGTAAGAGGAGCCATACCATCTCAAGACTTCTCTTTGCACCATAATCCAAAAAGCTTACACCAACTCACTCAGAAAGGCCTTCTGAACACTAAAACTCAGAGTTGTGAGGCCCATTCAGTTCCTGACCCTCCTCCCAAGTCTGTCAATGACATTGACAATAATAAACTTTGCCTTAAAGTTTAAGGTTCAAAGCACTATTTAAAAAGAAAATAAAAAAGATCGATGCTGTCATGAAAACCTTGCAACTGCTTTGAAGGATGTACTGTACGTTTCTCACAGGACAAAACTGCAAGGAAAGTATTAACACAAACTCTTTACAGTTAGGATGTACCCTGCAACCCACCAAATTCTGACTGTAAACAGCTTCTCTGGAAATACTTCCAAACAACTTTCACAAGCCCAAGCAGTGTCTCTCCTGTCTTCCAAAACAGAGTTCATTTACTGTACCACTTATGATTAGATTTCAGAGAAGTTGAAAGTTTTACTGCCTACAAACATGACAAACAACATTATGCCTTATAGAGAGTATGGCAAGACTTCGTATTCTCTTCCAAAGAAAAGGTGAGCACTAAGAATTTCAAACCATTTAATAACGTAAATCCAAGAAGGTATTTTTAAATGTACTAAAAAAAAATGGTCTAAACTAGAATGCAGAATATAAAACACAGCAAAAATCTGTTAGTTTTTACTTTGGATAATCTTTATATAATTTTACAGCAAAGTTTTAAACAGGATGTCATGAAACAAAAAGCTGCATAAGGAGGTGTACAGAATGCCTCTGAGTATTCAGAGTATTTAAGACATGAGAAAGCTATACCAGAGAAACGAGAAGTCATCCAGGATGTTTTAGACTACCTCTCTCCAACATCTTGTCTTGCTTCTTCAGAAACTTTCTCTTCCCCCACAGCAGTCCCTCTGCCAGAGGTTTCATGGTGTGTTGCACAGACTTCCTGAAGCGGTTCTATGGCCTACTACAGTAATTAAGTCAAGCCTAAAGCCACGTGGTCTCAATTCCCTATCTAGCAGTCCACACCTCTACAGGAAAATGTCTAGAAGCCTGCAAGTCTGAACACCACTTCTCTACCCAAGGAGAGACCATCCTGAATTCTCTGTGGGATACGTAAGGATTCATTTCCAGGTCCTGACAACTGTTAAAGAATGCAGGCAATCTCACATGCACATTGGGCATGTGCAATTGTTTTGGATAATTTGTTCCTTCTAGTCCCGTCAATTTAAGTAACATTTTAGAGAACTGTCATCTTCTACTCTTTCCAACTTAATTTACCCTAGGTATGACTCATAGTATCACCAGAGAAAAATTTCAAGTAAAAACCATGATACTATACTGCTAATGTACTTCTAATGTATACACTCCAGGAACACTTTTTTAACTGCCATCTTTAAAATTAAAGAATACAATGCCTCTAATTACCTTTTATAACCACAGACCCTAAAAAAGCAGTGGTATGGGACAGGGGCAGAAGGAAACAGCCAAGACGAAATACGGCAGGAAAAATTCTCACATTTCCTGAGAAAGCAGCATGACTGAGACCCATCTCAAGTACTTGCACACAAACACAGGTGCTATGGGATACAAACAGGGTGAATTAGATGTCCATGGGCAGCTTCAGAGCTTTGATCTCACTAGGACCACAGAAAAACAGTGGGATAGCTTGCAAGACAGGAGTGCTGCAATAAACAGACCTTTAGGAAGGCACTTCAGCAAGGACATGCCAGGACAGCAAAAAGGAGAGAGGCTTCTCCACCAAACAGGGTAGCATGAATGCATGAGCTTTCCTCTGGAACAGGGAAAGGGCCAGTGGAGAGCTTACAGGTAAGTATGAGAAGAGATCAACAAGGGTAACATGGCAGGATTTGCTACAGATTGTTTGACTAAAAGAGAGACAGATAAATCTTCATAATACTACACCCTGGTTCTTCTAAGGGGGGCTTTAACCACCCCAGCAACTGCTGGAAGGGCAGCATAGGAGGGCACAAGCAGTCCCAGAGATTGCTGGCAAGTGCTGAAGACCTTTTCCTCATGCAAGTGATTTACAGTCATACTACGGAAGGTGCTTTACTGAATCAGCTACTCAAAAGGGGAAAAAAAAAAAAAAAAGTTAAGAACTGGTCAGGGATGTGATGGCTGATGACAACCTCCGGCTATAGCAACCACAAGCCAATGGAAGCAATATAAACAGCAGAACTACAACCCTGGACTTCAGAAGAGAAGACTGCAACTTATTCAGAGAACTGACTGGTAGGATCCCACTGGGGGCTGCCCTAAAGAGCAAAGGGGCCCAGGGAAGCTGGTTGCTTTTCTAGAATAACCTCCTCAAGCAAAAGAATGGTACACTTTGAAGAGCTGAAAAGCACCAGCTATTGCAGAAGGCTGGCTTGGCCAAGTGGGTAACTCCTGACTGAATTCAAAAACACAAAAAAAGAAGTATAGAGAAGGTGAAAGTGGAGATAGGTTACACATAGAAATATAAAAACATTGTCCAGGCATGCAGGGACAGAATTAGCCAAAGCTTAGCTGCTGTTCAAACCAGCAGGGAATATGATGGCCAACGAAAGGACATCTACATACAGCACAGCAGAAGCAGTAAGCTGATGACTGAGGAAAGTGTGGGCCTGATGCTGAATGCTGTAGGGAGCCATTCAGTACACAGAAAAGGCCAAAGCACTGAAGAGCAGAGTCTCTCAGGCCTCCCATGCTCCCGAAGCTACTGCCAGAGTCAGAGGGAGCAAGGCATTCCCCACCGTAAAGGGAGACCAAATTAGGGATCACAGCAGCAAAGCCCACACATGCAACTCCTTAAGACTGAACAGGATGCACCCCAAACTGCTAAGGCCAGTGTTACTACAAGACCATATTATCATTTTGAGTGGCCATGGAGCTCAGGAGAAATTTCTGATGACTTGAAAAGAAAAAATAAATTTAAAAAAAAAAAAAAAAAAAAAAGAGAGAGACAAAATATATCCACAAGAAGGAGAATCCAGGAAACAATAGGGAAGGTTACACAACAAATCCACCTGGAAGCTGTTTCCAGGCACACAAAGGTCAAACTGTAACTGGGAACATCCAGCATAGGTTTACAAATGGCAAATCATGCCTAACCAACCTGACTGCCTTCTTAATGAGACAACTGTCTCAGCGGATGAGAGGAGAGCCACATATGTCATTTAACTTGGCTTTAGCAATGCTTTTCACAATGTCTCACATAGTATTCTTGCAGCCAAATTGAAGATATATAGACTGAATGGATGGACTCTTAAGGAGAGACAAGATCTGGCTGCATCTTTGAGTTCAAACAGTTGTGATCACTGGTATGAAGTTCAGCTGGTGGTCAGTTACTGATGTCACTCCCTAAGGACATCCCAATACTGTTTACTAACCTTGGTAATTGCCCAGGTCTAGGTCTTCATTAACAACCTCAAAACAGGACAGAAAGCACACATTAACAAGTTCACATCCAACACCAAATTAGGGAAAGTGGTTGATATACTGGAGGGCAGGGCTGCTACTCAGCAGGCTTTAGAAAGAGGGTGTCAGAATCTCAAAGGTCAAAGGAAAATGTAAAGTGCTGCACGTGGGATAAAGAAATCCCAGTACAGGCTGGGGACAAATGGCCAGAAAGTAGCTTTGCAGAAAAGAAGCTTGTGGTCCTCATAGTCAAGCCGAACATGAGTAAGCAGGGAGTCCTTGTGGCAATGAGGTCAAACGCATGCTGACTTGCATTAGTTAGAGTGTAGTTAGCAGGTCAAGGAAAGTCATTCCTCTCCTCTGTGCAACACTTTTGAAACTGCATCCGAGCACTATGTCCAGTTTGGGACAGTACAACAAAGTCACTGACACAGTGGAGTAAATCCAGTGCAGAGCTAAGAAGGCTGCTTAGGAACTAGAGCACATAATGTAAGAGGAAAAGGTGAGGGAACTGGGTGTGCTCAATCCTAAAAAGTTACAGCTAGAGGGAGATTTTACAGACATCTTTTGCTGCTTTATACCAGGTTCTCAACTTAATACAACCTAAGGATGCATGTGTTTTCTGGGGAAATCAAAGAGACTATTGACAATGGGCTGCCTGCAGTGCCCACATCATGTTTAACAAAACCAACAGAGCTGCATAAGAATAACACAACGGTGGGAAATGTCACAAAAAGGAAACAACAGCATATGAGAACGGTCAACATGCCATCACACACTAGGCTTTTATTGAAGCAAGATAACCAAGATCATTAATAGAAATCTTGTTTTCTTGTTTAAAGCTTAAAAATAGTTTGACTTTACTACAAAAGAAAGTAAATGCCTACACCAGACATCTTGTTAGTCTGCACTAAGCTCTACTTTGCTCAACAGTACTTTAAACAGCAGCAGCCTGCTCAGACAGCCAAGTGGAACTGTCCCCACTGGACATCAGTAGTGAGCGAAACCAAGTGGGTTATCATCACAGCAAGGCCCTTCGAGCAAAGACAGGTGCATGTAACAAATTTAACAGGGATGAGGTATTCCAATATTTGCTCCCCCATATTTCCAAAGACATTTTCTTGAATTTAGATTTTTCAGTGTCACAAAAGTGACTGGAAGACCATGTCCCTCAAAGTTAGCATGGAAGGACTCAAATCCCTCTCAGCACCAGTTACTCACTTCACCTAGCCTTCCAATACACAGAGGAAGAAACCCAACCACGAAAATTACTTTTATCCCTTAATGAAACCACCTCCAATCTCAAAAAAAACCCACAAACCAGTCAATAGTCTATTTTGTACAGTGAGCATGAAGCCTGGATAGCAGAGTGCACCATTTCCAACAGGACCTCACTAAAACCAGTGAGGGAGGAAATATACAAAAGCGAGCGCGAACAATTTGACCGAAAACTGGCATCACTTACCACTTTACTTTGCAGGTCTGTGTGTTCCATTCCACAATGTGTTTGTCCTCTGAACAGCTATACAAGCAGCAGTTGTCTTGATGCCATCTCACACAGTTTACTCTATTGTCATGACCACCATCCTACAAAAGTAGAGGGTCAACTCATTAATAAATTAAGAAGCCTTGACTACTGAGTCTTCCCCACATCAACAATGTGAACAAACTGCTCTTTCGAGAACTAAATTCAAATCATCGGCAATTTGAAGAGAGTGTGGTTTTAAATACCAACATATTTGTAGTTATAGAAGTTAAAGATATTTCATATTTTGATACGTACACATCAGTTTTTGAATTAATTCTTGTTCTAGCACTTCAGAGTTAACATAAAAAGAGTGAGCAGGACAATTTTTTTACACATAGCCAAACAAAGCTGTCTAACAATATGAAATTTGGTCAAAGGAAAGGCTAGCACAGGTGTCTTGCTGACAGTCATCCAATCGCCTGCTTGCTTAAGTACATTCATAGATGAGTAGCCTTCCCTTTGTAGTCAGCACTCAAGAGTGAGCTACCATCAGATCAGAAGTCCGTACAAACAGGTATCATTCACCTCTCAACAACCAAAATCTCTGCAGCTCAAACATACCCTTTAATCGTTCATAAAAGTATTTCTTGGAGTTTACAAAATGTCACTATTTGAATCAGCACCAGCCAGCTCAGACTACTCCCACAAGTGATGCTGTAAATCAGCTTTGAGCAAGACAAACTACATCACAGCAAGACATTCTGTTCAATAAGGACAACTAAAAGTGACAGCTGTTATTCTAGCAGGAGTAATCTTTTAATTCATCCTATCTGTATAAAACAAAAGTACTCATCAAATAACATCTGCTATCCTGCTCCTAGAGAAGAGCAGCCAGTGTTTTCAAACAGACTGCAACTGTTTTAACTTGAAACTCCTTTATTTTGCTCATGATTTTCAGGCATAAATACAGCTTTTCCATAAAACAGAGCTGATACTCATTAGCTAGCGTCACTTGCACTTATCATGATTTTCGGAAGTCATTGCTTTCTCTAAATTCATGTACACTTATCATCCTACATACAACTAACAGTTTAGAAGCAAAAGTATGCCCAAGTATCTCAAAGTATTCCATGGAGTCATTCATACAGATTTATTTTGCTTGTTTTGTAACCCACGACTAACAGCAAGGTACTTCAGAGTAAGAAAGTTCTCAGTAAGAAAGACAAAACAAAAATCAGCATATCCCATCAAGAAAGATCATGAGCTAAGAGAGCTCAAAAGTTTCCACAAGGGAGGTAAAGTTTACAGAAGAGTACATCAACATGACATCTTCCCAAGAGTGGATGAGTGCTACAGTCCTGCCCTCCCGTCCCAAAACACTGTGCAGGAACTGAGGGTACAACACTCCCATGGAGGATTTAACTCTCCACTCAAGTATTGCATCATTAGTTATTTTTTATGCAAAACAACAAATCCATGCACAATGTTAATGCATCAACTTAGAAATCAAGATTTGTCAACATGTACGTACTGACAACAATAGAAAAAGCACCACTTGAAGATTCCCAAGAACCTGAATTACTGCACCTCTATCCATAAACACAGCTATTAAGGAAAAAAAATAAATCTGAATAAATAGGTTAGTTTATTGCATTTTTGAGCAGCAGAAAAAACAGCATAAACTGACTGAAACCCATCAGTATTTGGTAGCACGCTATGAAGAGTGTATTACTTACTAGCTTGCTCTGTAATTCTCCTTTTACTGTGCTGTACAACAAAATACTACCAACTGCTGTACCAATAGCCAGGATGTCTAGCTGCTTGTCCACTTCTGCAACTTCAGACTTCCGTTTTTTTCTCTGGGGGCCATCCTGGAAAATTGAAAAAGAGAAAACATGAAATAAATTAGTCTGACCAGCTAACTACAATGTTAAAGCAGAGGGGAAAAAAAAAACTCGCTAAGTTTGAGACGCAGTCAGTCAGCACAAACTCTGCTAAGACACAGAATGAAGACGCTGAAATGCTCAGCAACCTAGCGACTCATCTTGTTCCTCCATGTACAAGTAACAAAGTTGCTATTCGGCACTTGGAAACTTGGTGGAGGCGTTTCACTAGGCTAGCAACCACATACATGAGAAAAAAAGGAAAAAAAACCCACACATTTAAGTTTTCCACGACTTCGTGTCCCAGAGGCAGAAGAGAAGATTAACACAATCAGAATACCTCATTCACAAAATGGAAGCGCTTGATCAAGAATGATCAGTTTATTTTTTCTCAAAAGCTATTCAGAAGAGTTCTGCAAATACTAAGTACTCATAACGCCTCTTAAAAAGAAAGCGCTACCCACTCCGCAGAGGGAAGCAACCAGGACTTGAAGCTAAGTGCTCTGCCCAAGTCCTGTCGTCAGTTCCAGAGGTCCTCCCATGATCAGGCAATTCTTATGTCTTCACTCTCTTGCTTTGCAAGTGCCATCAACCACTTCAAGGAGGGATTTCACTTCATTTCTCTTAACGAAAAACTGGTGAATGCAGCACATCACTGGGAAGGGGAGAAGGAATAAAAGTGGCTCTTGAGCATGTAAAACTAAAGAAAGAGGGCAGAAGCCTACATTGGTTCTCACTGGTTTAATCCCATATAACTAATCACACATACACACAAGAAAAAAATAAAAGAAAAAAAAAACGTTCAAGGACTTCCGAAGAAAAAAAATCATCCCTAATGCTACTGAGTAGTTTTTAAATTGGAGTTTGTTAAGTTTCCTTACATCTATTACATCACAGCAAAGCATTCTCTCCAATTTAAAAAAAAAAAATAATTATGCACAAGCTAATGCTTCCTCTACACAACAGATATATTTGCACTGATTAGCAGCCAGAAGCAGCCAAAGGAGACGTTGATAAAATGTGAGCAATCAGCTCTGTGCAAGCTCCATGTGGTGTAGCTAATCTGTCATACAACGGACATCACACAGCGAACGTACATCATTTTTACTCTGGTCCAGGGACACAATGACAATCAGGATTTGGGAGTCTTCACCACAACTGAGATTTAAAAGTTTAACAGTGCAGCATAAATACTTTGGTTCTTTGAAGCGGGGCTTTCTTTTCCTCTGTATTTAACATAGACAACACCTTCTGCAAGGAAAAGTGTTTTGGTTTCAGCCAATAAATACCAAAGTGCTACAGACACTTTTACACCAAAAGCAGGCTCTTGAGAAAAGAGATTACATTGGGTTTTTTGCAAGCATTTTTTTAGGCTTCATCTTTCCTGGGAAAGAAAAGTGTCTATAAAATATCACAAAAACATAGGTGCTGAGAAACCATCACAGTCACAAAGCATAGCCAAGTAAATCAACCAGGTTTTAAGACAATACATGGGAAAAGACTCAACTAGTTAAATTTTTGGCAGCAATGCCAACTAAGCCATCTAGAAACTGCTGTCTGACATGCAAAGACAAGGGCCATAGAGCCAGTGGAGAGGCAAGTACAGTTTATGTGTTTTCTGGTACTTTTCAATCTATTAGTTTTACCAATTACCACACACATCCCCACTGCAAAGCAAAATCGCAATTAAGAACAGATTTTATTCTCTCCTCCTCGCACAAATTGTTTAACTACTATTTGTTCACCCTCCATTTCAGTTTGTTACAGCAAATTTCCTTTGGAACAACTCAGAGGTACAATAAAATTCCCACTAAAGTCCACAGTTATTTCCAGTGTCAAAAAGAAAGCCACAGGCAGTGAAGGTTTTTCCAATTATTTTTTCACGTGTATTTCTTTACTGACACCCTTTATCAGCATTATTAGTGGGGTGTTTCGTCAGAAATTTTTGCATCAAAGAAACAGCAGTGGAAAATTCAGACACCTATTAATGCTGGAAATTATTTGAAAAAAACCACTCCAATTACTAAAAAAAAAAAAAAAAAAAAAAAAGTTTAAAAAATTTTTAAAAATCATCAAACTAACTTCTCTACCCTGCATTAGATCAGTAGATAGACAGACTGCCAACTGCAGCAGAGATCCACGTGGGATTCACTTGTGGATCAGAATCTTAAATATAAGAGCACCCTGGTTTCATGGATAGAACAGGACAGGACAGGATAGGGGAGCTGAACTATACCAAGTATCAGTTTCCTTTTAGTTACTTTTATTTTCCAGATTTATAGAAACTCCATCTTACTCAGAAATCTTTCAACCTTGCCTGAAAAAGCAGAGTTTTAATTAGTAGAGACAGTTAAAAGAAGTTATTTGAAAAGGGACTGTGAACATATTCTTCCGTAATGTTCCTACTTGAGTAGGTCAGACACTAAGCAATTTTTTTAAAAAAAAAAAAAAAAAAAAAAAAAAAAAAGAGATCTGATCTCTGCTGCTTACATGTGAAGTAAAGCACTTAAAACACCAAAATGGGGAGAAGCCTAAAGAGTCTTGAGAATCAAAGATGACAGAGAAGTTGCAGCTTATTAGGAAGTGGAAGAAGGTATTTTGAAAGCTGATGGTCCACATACTCTTGCACAAGGCACCACTTCGTGGAGCAGGAGACGGTGGACACCACAAGCAAGAAGCCCTGACACTACAAAAGCACATGCCAGGAAACATCCCCATTAGCCACCACTGCATCAGCAATTCCAGGGCCTGCAGTTCAAAACTTAATTTCTAATATTCCCCTGTAACATACGGCCTTCACTAACATGGCAGCAGTCCAAAACATACGTAGTTAAGGTGTCACTTGTCTAAAGACCATTTATAGATATCTACTGATGTTTACTCCTGAACACCAGATATTAGCACCACCTACAGAGGTGTCAACTCTGCAGGAATAAAAAAAAAGAAAAAAACTGGAAAACTAAACAATGTTAGAAAAAACACATTGAATAAAATGTATTTTGGCAGAACCATCACAGCTTTAGTTCTTCAGTTCAGTCTAAGGACAAACCAAGGAATTATAAAAGTTCATGGCACATTTATTCCAAGAAACGGTATGTTTTCCAGCTCCACTTGAAAATGTACCAACTCTCAAGCAGTGGACAGCATTCAAACTACCGGAATAATTAGAAAGCAACGAGAGGTAGCCAAATTCCATTTGAGTAAGTCCATTTTCCATAAAACCCTAAACCAGGTTACATTGGAGCATTTGTGGGTTTTAGGAGTGGGTCTCTAGAAAAGGATTAATTTTTAAAAGCCACTCACAAACTTCTTGTGCTTGACTTATGGCACCACAGCAGTGCACTAGGTCAGCTTAAGTTTTATTTCACACAGGACAGATGAACCCCATTTTCACATGCCAGTTTCAGTTCATTTAAGAGTGAAGAACCTAAACAGCCCTGCAACTAAGGCACATATCCTTTCTTCTTCGAAGTTACGTGGTAAGTGAACAGGTTATGGCCGACCTAAAACTAACCCTTTCTGCCACATTCTTCAAATGTTCTGGGACTTTTCAAAGTTCAGTGATGAAGCTGCTCAACCGAGAAAAATGAGACAGTATTATCTTCCTTTGGATTGATAATTTGCATGTCAAGCATTTTGAAATACCTCTTACAATATGTCAAACACAGTAAATTGCTGATATACCAAAATGCATTTTAAAAAGCACTTCCTACTTCTTATGATAAAGCAGGTGGATTTCACATACTTTATCCAACGCATACATTTTTTCCTCAGGAAATTTTATGTTCTAGCTAATGAAAATAGGATTACTTCAACATAAAGAGGATTAAAAGGTACCTTACTGTATACACTCCAGGTATTTTCAGGTCGAGTGTTCACCTGAAGTGAAGTTAATAAAATAAATTCAAGGTGGAGAACATCCGAGCCCTCTGATGCGTGCTCCGAACAAAGCTACTGAATACCTTCTCGCAGGATTCCTGAGCTCGGGAAGACGCATCACAGACAGCATAGCAGCTTGCATGGAAATACTTCCAAGAGTAAGGAAATGTGGAGAGATGCTGCCTTTACTGGAATGCGAACTGTACGTAAGCTAAGCGGACGCACAGCAGCCGACCTGCTCTGTAGCATCACCCTTTCGATTAAGGTGAGATGTGCCATGAAGTAACACACTGTGCTCCTTCAAGGAGGGCATCTTCCATGCAGAGCAGACGAAAGACAAATGGTTTTAGAGTCAGTGTTCCTGTTCTCAGCCCGGTTTTTTTTTGTTGTTAAAAAATATAAAATAAAACCTCCAGTGCCGCTTCCCTCACCACCACGTGAAATTTACCTGGTGACGAGCAATCCTGCCACGCTCCTCTGAGGTGAGCGGATT